ACAGTAAGCTGTCACAGGGGCCTGTAGTCCTTATCTCAGTGTCTGGAAATTTGGACAATGTATTTTACTACTGAGATAAAATGGAAAGAACTCCAAGTTCAGCAAATCGTAATGGGTTTAAGTTCTATTGAAATCGGTAACCAGAAGATCAGATAACAGGGGTCCTTCAGTTGTCTTTTTAATCAGGTTCCCCGCAAGGGCTGAATAGAGACAGAGCAGACACACAGTGAAAATATAATTCTTGGATAGGTTAAGTACATGTTTGAACTCTTGCAAGCAGAAGCAATTTGATGATGACTTAATCATTTTCTGGTCAATTATCTGTAAGGACCCTTGCAACTGCATGGCAATTATGATGCAAGTTGGCCTTTTGGGAGAAACACCAGTCTCCCTGCTTCTGTTTCCTTGTTGCTTAGATTCTCTGCCATAAATTTTCATTCGTTTATTATCTTTGCTAGCATGGAAACAACTTTCTGTGTAGTAATTACAGCCCCAATGCACACTTTAGCTGTCATCTTGTTGGAGGCCTGGATGTCCTCATGGCCAGCATTTGATAAGTGTTCTTTGTTGATTTTTGATTAATGCACATCTCTTTCTGGGGGCCAGGGGAAGTGAATGCCTGTGATGACAAAAGGCAGGGGATAGTATATCAGCTTGCCTGATATATAGCTATGGATTTATTGGCTTTAACTTGGCAAGTTGAGTTGCATCTGTCCTTTACACATAGAAGAGGCTGTCAATAAGAGGGTATCAGCTGCAGCATAGCCTAAATGACATCTTCAGTTCAAAGGTCATAGGAAATAGTAAGAAAACTCATCCTGAAAGATACCAACATTTTTCATGTTAGTTTTATTCCCTATGAGTTAAGGTGATGCATTACTGAGTTAACAAAATTTAAATTTTATATGCAGAAGGACATGTTCCCCACATTACTCTAATCAGAAAAATATGTTCTCTGTTCTGCCTTACATATACATCATTTAACTTTCAAAATCAGAATCTATAATCTTGTACAATGTTCAATTCTTATTAATTGGGGATCCATAAAAATATGACATAATAGGCAACTCATGTTTTCCCCTTTACCCTGTACATCATTCCATAAATGTCCTCAATAGGATCTTGTATTAATTTACTATTGATAGTGATGCTTTGGCTATTGTACAAAGCTTGAAAATCCAAGGCACCTGCTAGGTTAAGTGCCAGAATCTTGATAGTGGTGCCTAGAAATCTTGAAATATTTTCCATGCCTGATGCTGTGTCTCGTAGGACAGTAGTGCATTGGATAGCAACTTCAGGAATGAGACTCAAAGAGTATTTTGCTATTTAAAAGTTTGGTGCAATATTTTTATATCATCTGACTCAACCTCTTGTATATCCTTATCCCTCAGGTTTAAAAGCTTTTGAAGATGAGCTTTGTGAGGGTAGGGAAGAGGAAGGGATGTAAGAATGCTGTGGGGAGGAAAAGGAGGAAATGTCAATGATCTAATCCTTTGTACTCTTTACACTTTAACAGTTCAACAGATGTATTACTTCTCAGCTCATCAAGTGGTTTAGCAATTTCCGTGAGTTCTACTACATTCAGATGGAGAAGTATGCACGTCAAGCCATCAATGATGGTGTAACAAGCACTGAAGAGCTGTCTATAACCAGAGACTGTGAGCTGTACAGAGCCCTCAACATGCACTACAATAAAGCAAATGACTTTGAGGTACGCACTGATCTTTCTATTCCACCCCTCCCCTGGGTTTATGGATAATTGGGGGGGGAAAACAACTACAGCATTTCACAGTATTTTCACTTGTCTCTTCATTGGATATAGCTCATTTCGGGTATTGATGAAATGGATCCATAAAGACAAATCTAATTAGTCTGCCTTGTCAGAATGGGGAAAAGTTCTCTCTTGTAATAGGTACAATTTTGGTGACTCCACCTCCTTCTTCCTTTCCGACATTTTCTACTTGAATGTCAGATACGTGTACTTACATTATTATCAAAAATGCCAGTCATCATGAGCTTGTCTTGGAAATGAATATTTTGAGTGGGGAAAATGCATCCCATTTGCAAAACAAATAAAGAAGCCTAAGGCAGAAAAGGTTGGTTGTGCTTCAGTTCCATCAAAATCATTGGAGAATTCCATTGAAATTTCTGAAATGCATTTTGCTGCTTGAGGCCTTTCAATGTAAAAGTTCCTTATAGGCTAGCATGAGTTAGCCACTGAGGGAACAGCTCAGCAGGTTTTGTTGCTAATGTCCTGACTTTCTTTAAACCCAGAGTAGCAAATTCCTCAATGCTGACAATGCCATTTTGCTACATCCAGATAGATTCATGCAGAGGTAAGGCAAGAGAGTTGTAAGGGTATGGCCATGAAGTCTTCTGGCAGTATTTGGACATGAACTAATCAAACATATTAAATATTGTATTTATTATACAATATTGTACACACGTACAATGTTATATTGGAATTTAAGCTTGATATAGAGTGGTCAGAAGGTGATATTGAATCTGTTCTGTTCCTAATGGAAGTAGGATATGTGTTAGGCATTAAACTTACTCTGAATTCTTTTCAAATTGGTGGCCATCATCAACATATGTGAAACTTTATATGTATGTTTGTTGTGTTTATATGTAATTATTTTTGCTACTGAGATTGAAATTGTTGAAATTGATATCTTTGTAAGCGAATTCAAAACTTTGTTTTGAAGAGCAGTCAATACATTTTGTATTTTATATCGATGTGGTTTCCTTGATGAAAATATAGGAAAGGTTTAGCAGTGCTTTCTTTCACATAATATTAATTGATGTCCATGCCATTGTCACTAAAGTGATCACCTGATTCCAGGGTCTTTCTATATTGCTGCTATTCAATAAAGGTGACTGGATCAACAACTTAATGACACTTGATCAATCATTATATTTATAAAAGAAAAAGGATAAAGCTATTAATTAAAAGGAAAGGGTTAGAAGAAGTTATAGTGCAAATTCTATTTGCAATTTTTCTCATTTAAAATGATCTCAGTGCACGTAGCATTTAAGGTAGCACAGTGCATGTTTATATATAATTTATCCTACTTTATGATCTTACAATTATCAACTATGCTTCTCTTGAGGATCAAATTTGAAAAATGAAATCAAAATGTGTTTTTTGTTTTTCAAGAGAGGATACTTGTAATTTTTAATAATAATGTAAACTTTGGATGAATGATTTTTGTTTCACAACTTGCAAAACCATCTACTGCTATATGTTCTTAATTTTTCAACAGGATATTTTTTTGATACCAATACTAGCATAAATAGCTAAATGTTGCTTCCTCGTGGCACAGCCTAAACCAAAAATGCTGAAGTTATATCAGTATAAAGGTCACACAAAGTAAGTAGGTCCTTTAGGACCTGATTTGGGGGGAACAGTTAAAGTATAAATAGTCCTTTAACCCATAAAACTTAAAACCATTCAAATAATTTGGTCCTACCCACTTAAGGGAGTTCTGAAAACCATAACTGAGGCAGCACTGTTGTTCTAGTCATATTTTTTTGCCTCATGATCTAAACCAGAGGTCCCCAACCTTTTGGGCACCAGGGACCGGTTCCATGGAGAGAGGTTCTTCCGTGGACCGGAGGGTGCATGGTTTCGTATTGGGGACCCCTGATCTAAACCATGGAACTTGTCATTGAAGATATGATTGGCCACTTTGTCTCATAGTTTTACAGATGGATTTTTTTTACCCAAGACTTAGGGTTTTTTATCCAGATTCTAATTTTTTTATTGCTTGCTTTGTGCTAGATAAGTCCCAAAGTTGGTGGGCAATTACTATGATTTTATATGACTACAAATCATTAGGAGAAAAGGCCAAAATCAAAAGTAAAACCACTCCCTTTCCTTCCATTCCCTTCCCTTCCCATCCCATCTCATCCCATCTCACTCTATCAAACAGGAAAAGGACAGCTCAGGGGATAGCAATGATAGCATTTTAAGATCAAATACATTTCCTCAGGAGTTTGGGTATAACTATCTATAGCTGTGTCCAAACACTTTTTAAAAAGAAAAATCTGTGGCTTCTTTTTCAATAACTAAATGGATACTAACTAGTTTTTATCTGTTGAAACAAAGCTTTACTTGGCTAGTGAGTTTAACTACACTTGCATTGTAAAAGTATAGCTAGCAGGTACACTCAGCTTCCAGCTGTTCATAGAATATAGTTGAAAAAAATAAGTGTTCTTCATGTGTTCACAAGTCTCCCATTTTCCACCTACCTTTTTAATCTTTATCTGTCAATATTCCTCTTGAATTTTCTGCAAGGAGAAACAATCATAGAGTTTTTCAGTGCAAATACAAAATATCTAATACTATGGGTTTTGTATATAGCAGTCATTGTTGTTGCTGGACATTGCAATAATCAAAAGCTTTAATGAAGATGACTTTTTCCTGAAGGAATTTGTGATTAATGCTAGAATAGCTACCTTGAAAAAATCTGGATGACCACCTACTTCCTTGCTGTTATTCGGTGCTTGTTCAGAATTTTTCAGTTAAGATATAATAGTTCTGATGAGAATGGACCTACAATATCCATGAGTCAGAAAATATACAGAGAAGAACTGAGAGGAGAACGGTGATGTTAGCTTTCCTTCCAGTAATCTCACTTATATCAAAGTAACTGGATAGAAGGGGAACACTTTTTATGTATACAAAGTGCATGTGTGCATGATTTATGTCCATATGCATACAGATGACTATGTGGGGAATGACCCACTACTCATTATGTGCAACCTTCAGAGATGAAACGATTGTGGAAAATAAAAGCTGTATTCATTACTTGGCAGGATTTATTCTAAAAATAGCTCTTCAGTGTGAAAATGATACAAGATTATATTTAACTAAATACTGAAATGCCATTTTTTTTTGTCTTTGACCTACTCATATAATACTTCCTATCCTTCAGTTTCAGGCAAAGAAATTTCCCAATTTCATTGTTTGTTTGTTTTTAATAAAACAAATCCTAGACTTTAATGCAGAATTCATTATATTAAATAGTATTTGTTCTCTTTTCATGTATGCTACCTGCCTTAAATTATCATAAGGTAGCATGAATTTTTCTTCCTCCTCCCTCATTTTATTTTTATAACCCTGTGAAATAGAAACAAAGACCTAAAATCATCCAAAGAATTTCATGAATGAGAGATTTGAATTCTGTCCCATGAAAATATAATTCCAGTAACCCACAATGCAAGTATTTTTTACTGGAACTGAGATGCTTAAATATATGGCAAAGATTTGCCATTAGTATTTTCAAATATGCACTATTCTTTTACATGGCAATTTTTTTTATTTTTTTAAAAAAAGAATACCTGCAATTGTCCTAAAGAGACCATTAATGCATATCACTGAATCTGGAAGTATGCATTCTTGCCACACTAGCAGAAATTGGATCTGAATACTCTGAGCAAAGGGAGCATTTCCTATATTTAGCATCATCAAAGTTTCTCCCCCTTATTCTTTTATTGCTTTATCTTTTAACACAATTGAGGCCTGATGTATGCATTCTATTTTAAATAGCATAAATGTTTTTAATTTCTTCTTCTATTACCAAGTTAATGTTTATAATAGATATTTTAATGCAATATTAAAAAAATAAGGATAAAGTATGTAGGTGTATCTCAGAATCACAAAAAGCTTTCATAAAGTCAGGCCTTGGCCATTTGTAAGGAGCCACAATATGTGTCATGACTTACATGAATTACATAATTCACATGAGAGGAGTGATGCAGATCTGTGTCAATTGCATGACGATACTATGATATACAAAAGCTTACTTACTGCAGACAACTTAAATAAGTTACTGTATTAACAAACCAACTGCTCATTTCTTTCTTTCTTTTTCTTTTTTCCTTTTGGCTCTATTAGCATAGACTCAGCCTTATAGTTGCGAGAAGATAAGGACACAGTAGCTTTAATAAGTGATCTTTGTGACCGCTCATTATAGTCAGCTGAGGCATTTGCAAAACTGCAAGATAACAGAAACTCCATGACATTTAAGGAAACATTTCCTCCTTTCTGACTCTGATTCAGGAATTGAGTTTCTGTGTTTGAGAAGAAGAACTACATTTTTGTCCATCATAAGGAATTGTTTATCAAAAATAATAAAGCTTCTAGTGATCTTCAGACCAATTCATATATGTTGTATCATAAACAGAATACAAATATAAAAACATATAGCATATTCGAACTACACAAAAATAGAGATTTATTATTCAATCACAAGTGTGACCCTAGGCAGCTTACACAGTATAAATAATTTTTTAAAAAAAATGTATACTGAAGTGTCATACTTTTCACAGTTGTGAAGGTAATGAAGCTTCCTTTACAAAGACAGTTCTTGTTGATCCAGTGACTTGTTGGTGCTTTTCACAGTCTGTTGAGAGGTTTTTCCCACTCCTGCCTTCTAATCTATTTAACAATTGGAGGTGCTACAGACAGAATCTAACTTCATATACAGAAGTACCCACTCAGTCTATGGCTCCAGAGATACTGGCAGCTTCTGAAAGCTTTACATGCAGCCTCCAGTGCCCCTGCCAAAAATGAGATGGCTAATAGTACTAATATATTTTATTTAAATTAAATCAAATTTAACTTTTGTCTGCCCCTGCCCGTTTCTTTTCTCTCTCACTTATTAAGCACACAAACAACATTGCCATTACTTTAACACTTTTAAAATA